TATTATAGGGAGGTGTTGGAACTGCCACGGCAAGATATAGATATTATAGTTAAGCCGGCTATTAGTAGATAGTTATAGATATACTTTTAGGTCCGCTCTAAGTTTTTATATATACTAGCCGACCTTAGCCTCTAAGATATATAATAACTAGATAACACCTATAAAGGAGCCTGTATTTATTACCGTAAATATTATATTACTAAACCCTAACTTACTATTATTATTTATAGTTATAGTTGCCTGTATTAGTAGAGGTGTCGGCGGCTGGCTTAGGAAGGAAAAGGGCAGTTAATAGGTCCGGTGGGCAATTGTCTGTCTATTCGGGCGATATTATATGCGTTTTAACGCGCTAGGAAAAGAGTTGCTATTAGGGCTCGGCTAACGCGTATAAACGGGCGCAAGCTAGGGTAACGCGTGCTGCAAGCAGGGTGTTAGAATAGATAAGGTATCTCCTATAGTTAACTTAGGTCTAGAAGTGTATTAAGGAGCGCGTTTACAACTGCTTAGTTAGTTATCTACTTTTAAAATAGACTACCCTATTATCGCTATAATAGTACTGTCTTACTAGGGGTTTAGTATATTCTTAAATTATAGGAGCTTCTTATAAAAGGCCTTAGCATACTTCCGCTTAAGTGCACTGCCTTATACGCTAGTATATAAGTTCTTTAGTTTTTTAATTCTTTTAGAAACTTTTTTAATCTAACCTTTTAGGCGGCTGTACTTATCTATAGTAATATTAAATCCTAGATTAACTCTACCTTATTTCTAATTATAAAATAGTTGCTATACTAGAAGGCGGGTAGTAGCTATTTAGCGGCGTTTAGTATATCTGCCTAAGTGCTGCTATACTATACTACTGCCGTTAATTACAGGCAGAGGCCGGTAAAAACAGTAGAATAAGGTTAGTATAGACGCAATAGTTTATAAGAAGAAGTATTATTAGTAGAGCGTGTAGAGGAGCGCTGTAAAGTTAAGTAAGGCAGTAGATTTTATTAGGCAGCCGCGGAAGCGGTTATATATTGCTGCTGTTAGTAATATTACAGTTCGACTGTTTAACGTGGCTTATTATAGAATAGAAAGAGGAAGAGTTTATTTTAAAATAAAAGGACTACCCTGCCTAGCTTTTTTAAGCTAGGTAATAGTCTAGTACTATCGAGCTCTTATAGGTTACGCTGCGAACGTTTTTAAGTATAAGGGTAGAAGGGGGGGAGGAAAGGGTTTTAGGCTAGTCGGCCGGCGGGCGTCGTTAGCTAGTGCAGAAAGGCTAGGATTAAGCTGTTTTAAGATAATTATAGCTGTCTTGCTAGCTTCTTCGGGCTAGATATTAAACTAGCGCTACTAAGTTCTTATAGGCTGTAAAGTAAAAGTAGTAAAGTAAGTGGCCGAAGTAATAGCAATATAGGCGCTGCTCGGCCACGCAGTAAAGTAAGAATAATTCTTTCTTATAGAGGCACTGTTATATCCAGTTTTATCCGGCTAAATATTAATCTGCGTTGTTAGACTCGTGTATACTACTATATAAGCAAATTTAGGTAAAGGACTAGAGTTAGAATAGAAGTGCTAGTGTTGCTAAGTAATATAGAAAAGATTAAGAGTTTATTTTAAGATATAAGGACTACCCTGCCTAGCTCCTTTAAGCTAGGTAGTAGTCTAGCACCGCCAGGCTTTTACAGGTTGCGCTGCGAACGCATTATATTTAATATATTATATCTAGCCGTAGGTAGTAAAAGGCGGTATATAGCTCGGCAGGGCGTGTTTATTACCTAGAGGGGAGCTACTATTATATACACTATTATTATTACTACTATATAGTTAGCACGCAGTTTATAATATAAATATTAATAATACTATACAGTACTTACTTTGCCTCGCGCGCTGGTGTTGTAAAGGTTAACTTTCTTAAGGTTGCGTCTGCCCGGGTTATTAATAAGCTGCGCGCCGGCGTATCTCTATAGTTTATAATAGGGCGTTTCGGACCCCTATAGGTGTAGGCCTGGCCGTATTTTACGGCTAATTATACTATTTTATATTTCGCCGTGTTTTTCTATATGCGTCGGCCTACGGCGGTATATTGCGCTAGAAGGTAAGAAATACCGCACGTGGCGCCGAGAACCAGGAACGCGGCACACTACGCGGGTAGAATATTCTACAATAATTGCGCAACTCGGCCGCTAAAGGAAGCGTTGTACTATATACAGGGGTATCCGCCCTATAAACTAATTTGCGTGCGCTTATTAGTCCTATATAGCTTAATATACCGCGTAGCTTAACGTGTATAACCCCGCACCTATTAAGCTTTACAACTACGTATACTATATATACTAAATCTATATAGCTGGAAATACCTATATATATAAAGTTATAATCTAACTAACTATATAGCTAACTTACCGGATAGGATACAGATATATCCTTCTAATTTATACAGCCTACCTGCGCAGGCGTATAGCCTGCAAGGCCTCTGCGAGTTACGTGCTCGCTTAGGCCGGGGTATATATAGCCCCAGGCTATATATCACGATTTCTTAAGGATTTGTCTCTTAATACACGAATATTATTAATTCTATCTATAAGCTCCCTGCTATATACTTTTCTTTTACAGAAACCTTGCTTTATAATCCTTCCGCCCCTTATATATAATATCCCTCTTATATAGCCTTAACACTGTTATTAAAATAGCGCATTAAAGATTTTCTAATTTGGCCTTATAGCTTGTTCTGCCACTAAAATATAAGGTTTTAAGCATGCTGGACCCGGTAATATTTATAGAAAATTATACTTGTCTTCTTAGTCTAATCTAAATAATAGAAGGGGGAAGGATATATATATTTTTTAAACTAATTAATGCTTTAGATTTTACTTATAATAGAAACTCTTTTAAAGTAATAAACTAATATTTAGGGTATTTAAGGCTAAAAGTTAACGTTTACTAAAGAATAGAGCTTAGCTCTATTAATTATAGGATAAAGCAACCTAATACTTAAATATCTATACCTTTGCTAATTAGGCTTAATATTAGGATACTTTCTCTAATATTAGCTATAGTTCTATTTAGTATCTTATATATTATAGGACGTAAAAGCTTACTAATTTTTATATTTCCTTCTCTATTTAGAAGTACTATACTACTGGTAAAGGACCTATAAATAATATCTAGATTGTATAGAAATAAAAGTCCCTTAATAACCTGCAATATATAAGCATATAATAATAATTATACTTAATACTTGTACCTCTTTATATATTGCAGCAATTTTAAACTTCTTAAACTTTCCTAATAGGGTAGCCTGGACCTTAGCAATTAATCTAGTTATATATTTATAGATAATATATATAGTATCGTCTTTATAGAAAGCATCTAATATATTAATAATGTTTAGATATTAAGTTCTAAAGACGTTTTAGACTTTAGAAAAATCTATTGCGAGATAACTCTTTATAACTATAATTAGAAATGTTAAGTTCTTTCTAAAGGCGATAGTAGACGGGCCTTTTTAATCCTTCTTAAGCACTCTTTAATACTTTACCTATAGTAAGCCTTTTAATAGAGTAAAAGAAGTAAATTACAGAAATAGTCCCGGATTTATAGAAGCTTTTACTGGAAATCTCTAGGTAGGGTCGCCACGCTTATAAATAAATTTCCGTTTTTATAGCGTATTAGAACCCTAGGATAATTCGGGCTTAGGACTTAGCGTGCTAATTTCCGACTAAGGGAAAAGCGTATTATATTTATTACTTGCTGCTATAATAAATTATAATAGATAATATTAAGAGAAGGAATAAGCTTTATATATATATATAGATCTATAAATAGATTATAAATAGGACTATTAAAAGTCTATTCTTAGCTTTAAGCTTGTTAACTATACTACCTAATAGGGCTGCCTTTATTTATATTTTTAGTTCTTAGCTTTTAGTATTAGCTTAGCTAATATTAAAGGTATAGAACAGTAGCTATAAATAAGATAATAACTACTACTATAATAGTAGTAATTATAGTACTACTATAACTACTAGAGCTAGTAGGCTTAGTATAATTTTTCCGGGCTAAATTCCTATTTACTAGTTAGTATATATTTTATTATTAAATTCTATTACACTGGTGTAGCTCCCGTTAGGGTCTATACAGCTGTTCTATCTAGGCTAGTTTACAAGGAGAAACCGTTTGCTGCCATGCAGCGTTCGGATGAAAACCCCGTCCTCTGCGGCGTATAGCGCTGAGCGCTCTTCTCGTTGTTGTATAGCTATTAGGGACACGTGGTAGATCTATTAAGTCCACCACGGAATAAGCCATCGTAATGCGTTTTCCTAAATCTGTCCGGGTTTTGCAGTCGTCCTCCTAGGCGCGGGTCGAGTTGATTCCGGAGTAGTGAGCTGGTTTAGGATTAGCGTGAGGGCACGCGTGCTGTCGTTTCGCACGCGTGCCCTTCGTTAAGGCGTTGGTCCTTGAATTGAATAATGTATATAGGGGTAGTGCCGTATAGGCTGCGATATATATAGGGGCTGCGGTAGACAGGCGGATACAGCTGTTAGGTGGGTGCGTGATATAGGCGGCGGTGGCGCTGTGCGTGCGTAGTGTGCGTAGTATGCGTAGTGTGCGTAGTATGCGTAGTGTGCGTTGTATGCATAGTATGCATAGTATGCGTAGTATGCGTAGTGTGCGTAGTATGCGTAGTGTGCGTTGTATGCATAGTATGCATAGTATGCGTAGTATGCGTAGTGTGCGTAGTATGCGTAGTGTGCGTTGTATGTATAGTATGCATAGTATGCGTAGTATGCGTAGTGTGCGTAGTATGCATAGTATACGTAGTATGCGTAGTGTGCGTAGTATGCATAGTATGCGTAGTATGCGTAGTATGTATAGTATGCGCAGTATATATAGTATATATAGTATATATAGTATGCGCAGTATACGTGGTATACGTAGTATACGTAGTATGTATAGTTATGTAAAGTTGTAGAAGATAGAGTACCTACGTCTCCGCCTCTACTATTTCTCTAGCCGCCGAGAGGTATAGCAGGAGGTCCGTTCTTTAGAGGAGCTATTAGGCCACGGCCTTTCTTTCTTTCTAGCTTCTGTAGAGCTGTTTATACGTCCTTATCTTAGCCTTCTAGAATAGCTTGCCCCTGCCCTTAACGTGTTTTCCGCAACTTATTACAATATGTCTTGGGGATTGGAGGCTATGCCCGCAAGGGCATGCCGGCGTCGGGTGGCCGGGCACTCTTATACGGTGGAGGTAACCGTTGAGCCCTATATGCTCCGTCCGTAGGTTCGTGATAATTGTGCTCTCTACCTTCGTGAGTCCTTTGTGTAGTGCCTCTTGTCGTTTGCTCTATTTAGTGTCGAGTGCTGGTGTTAGGGGTCCTTGGCGTAGTTCTTTATGGTAGGCTTCCTATTCCTTCTTCCACTTCTCTTCGTATTCATCCTGGATTATGCCACGCCTCGTGCGCCTATAGGATTCTTCCGATTCGCCTTCGTATCGTGCGGCTAGCCGTGATGCCTTCGCCGCGAGCTTGCGGAGTTCGTCGCGCCTGCTTGGGCCGTACCGTGGTGTTCCTTTCGGCCTGTATTTAGCACGGACCGTTTCTTTTATGCGGCTGTATTGGGTTTCGATGTGCTTGCGGGCTGGCCCCTCGCGTGTGCGGTCCGCGTAGGCCACCGTAAGTTCCTCCAGCTTTAGCCGGAGTGGAGGGCATAATGTCTCGTGCTCTATTACCCTGATGTTTGTTGTCTTGTATGCCCCTGAGATAGCACGAAGGCACTGGTTTTGTGCTGTTTCGAGCTGCTTAATCTTTGTCTTGCTGATCTGCTCTTTCATACCCGGTGTAGTATACTAGGAGGTGCATCCGTACATAATGGCAGGCCTAATAACCGCCGAGTATATTGTGCGTGCCTTCCGGAAGCTTGCGCCCCAGGTCGACGCCGTGAGCCTCGTAAGGGCCCCTATCTGGGCCGTGGCTTTATTCTTCGTGGTGTTGATGTGCGGGCCCTATTTAAGTTTGGAATCCACCTGGACCCCTAGTATTCTTAGGTCTGTTATAGGGCCTTCGGTAAAGCCCTGTATATTAACTATAGCTTTTACGTTGACAGACTTGCGGGCTCTTGTGAAGTGTATTAGGTGGTATTTATCTGGCGCAAAGACTGCTCCATGCTTTCTTGCCCACTCTATGCACCGGTCGTGCGCCCGTTCGATGGCCCTGTAGTTCTCTTCTGTGCTTTTGCTGTACGTAAGGATGTTTGTGTCGTCGACGAACCCGTAGGCTGTTGTATTGCCGCGCTGTAGCATTGGTAGGAGCGTGCTGGCGAAGAAGAGGAAGAGTATTAGTGATAGGGAGGAGCCCTGCGGTATTCCTGTGGTGACTGCAATAGGTTCCGCTATAAAGTTTCCGATGGCGAGCCTTGTAGTGCGGTTCTGTAGGAAGGACCTTGTGAACCTAACTATCTACTCCGGCACTTGTTGAATCTGTAGGTTGTGTATTATACGTTTGTGTGATACACGGTCGAACGCCCCTGATATGTCTAGGCTAAGAAGTGATGCTATAAGCTGTGGGTTTCCTCTCTATACAGCGTGGATTTGTTCAGTAAGGAGCTCGAGTGCTGTTAGTGTTGAACATCCTGGTCGTGCCCCTATCTGACTAGGTGGAAGCATATCCTTTTCTTCCGTAATTTTCGATAGCCGCATAGCTACAATTCGTTCGAATAGCTTGCCTATTGTTTCTAGCAGGGCGATCGGCCTATAGGCCTTTGCCGTTGTGTAGGACGCTTTCTGGGGCTTGCGTAGCACCACCGTAATGGAATCTTTAAACGGCCGAGGATGGTGTCCTTTACGTAGGCACCTTGTGAAGAACCGAGCCAGCGTAGGCGCCAGCTGCATTTCGCACTTCTTGAGAAACCTGTTGGTAATCCCTGTAATACCCGGGGCTTTGTCTGGGGCAGTTCCTATTAGCGCTGAGAGGACATCCTCAATTGTAACATCTAGCGTGGTGTTGTACGGTTCCGGGTATTGGAACCCCTCTAGGTCGGATAAGTCTGTATTAGCCGGAGGCGGAAAGAACTGCTCCGCTAGTATGCGTGCTTTTGTTTCGTTGTCTGTGTATAGAGTAGGGTCCTCGGGTCTTGAAAAAGGGGGAAATTGAGGCGGAGGTCTCGATTCCTTACCAGCCGTACGGCCCCAATTGGCTAGCTTCCATACACCCTTTGGGTTCTTTGTTACTTTCTCTACTGTACGGCGCCACGCCTTAGTGCTCTCCCTCCGTATAGTTCTCTTCTTGCGGTTGCACTGGACACGGTACGATATCCAGTCCTCTATAGATCGCGACGAGCGCCATGTTCTATACGCCCTCCTGGGAGTTAGTATATATAAGCTTCTAGTAACCTATTAGCTTATATAGAAGTTATTTTAAATTAATGCTTTTTTACTAGCCTTTATATTTGTATATATAGTTTAGAGAAATAGCTATATCTTAAAATAGGATTTCTATTTATCCGTTAAATAGAAACATTGTTAAAAATATTTCTATATCTATTTTTGGAATCGATCTATATAGTCGTCGTATATTAGCTAGTGCTTCTACACCGACCTTAGCACGCGCAGAGAGTAAAAATGCTAATCTAAGATTTGCTATAGCAAAAATAATACCGTCTCCTACGGTTAATATATCCTAAATCCCTTTCTAATTAATACTCTTTTCCTCTATATTTGGGATACTAAAGGCACACTTTCTATAATTAAAAAGGTATTAAAGAGTAGGCCGTTGTAAATTAGGATCGGCGGACGGAAATATATATATATTACGACTTTTAATAATATAAAGTATAACAGGTTTATAGATAATCCTCCGCATAAATACTTTATAGTCTTCCTCTGTTTTTACTGTTAATAGACTGTATATTAGTGGTCCGATAGATACTATACTATGCCGCTCTTTTAATATACTACCTATATTGCTATCTCTTTACTAAGGACTTTTTCTAGAACTTTTGCCTTGCTATTTTATTCTACTTTACTTTCTTAGGTTAGGATCTTCGCCTTAATTTTGCGTAGCCTTGCTATAGCTTGCTTAAGGGGGTATTAGGTATACCGCGAATAGGCCCGAGTCCGGTAACTCTAGGGAATATTGCAAATTATTATCTATAATTTCAAATAAGGGAATATTAAAGAACACTTAAAATATCTTTTTTTTAATACTAAATAAGGTAATATACTTTCTAACTCTTTCCGGCCTAAGGTCGCCTATATTTGTAATAAATAGGAACTTTTAATCTAATAGATAGGATTTCTTATATAGATAACTGCATTGCTATAACTTTAATTATTAAATGTTGTTAATAGTAAATAGGGGGCTTATTATAATCCGCGGAGTTAAGCTAATGCTAATAATACTATTGTAGATACTCCTAACTACAGCCTTTACGTCCGCCTTTTAAATATTGTAGATATCGCCTAGATAAACTCTAACTATAAAATCTTTAACTATGTTTTCTAGATAGTTTATATTTGCTAGTTATAAAGCCTCTAGTAAGTTAAAGCCCCTAGTCTCTACTAAAAAACTAAGATTACCCTATAGTATATCGCAAAGTTTCGTTTTAGGCTTTATTTTACCGTGGTCTTTACGCGGATTATACTTTATTAGTTTTAGGAAATAGCGCATAGAAAAAAGCTAAGCCTTAAGATATTTAAGTTGGAATTAAACCCTAGGTTGCAAGTTAGTTAAGGTGTTTTTAAATACTTTTTCAGCGTACTAGACGGATAATTAGGGGAAGGGATTAAAACCCTTTCTAAAGGCGTAAAAAATGCTTTTTTTAAACTTTGGTTATAATAGCCCTTTTATAACCTTTACGCAAGGCTCTAAGTATTTAGTGTCCTTAGAAAAGGTATGCAATAATAGAATTCGGCTTTAAGACTTTAATCTAGGAAAGATATTATTTCTAACTTCCTAGTCTATAATTGCTGGAAAAAGGTACCGGCTACCTATTAACTCTTTAATCTCTGCCTAATCTACAGATAAATAAAGGGGTAAAAGAAGCTCTAAAAAGGAAACAGTTTAAGGGTCTAGTAGTGTAAATAGCCTTATATTATCTAAAAGGATAAATAACCACGTAGTATAGATATATAATAGGTAGTAAATAAGTTCCTAAGAATAATATAAGCAGCTTATTTTAAGATCTAGGTAAGCCTACCTATTTATATCTTAACGTTAAATAGCGGTAAAAAGTGCTAAGTTAAAGTATTGCCTATAAGCTAATAAACAGGAGAAGGTTATTAAATGCGTCGTATAAGGAACGCATCTTTAATACTAACTTTTTAATATTCTTCTCTTTACTTTTAGAATCTTTTAGTCTTGCTTACCACTTACTCTCCTATACTCTATTTTTGTTTTTTAAGTACTTCTGGAGATATCGAAATATATTCCTATTATAGAATATATAAGCGTTAGAGTATTCTATTTATAGATATAGAGCAATAGTATTAGGGAAATCTATTAGAAGTTTAGAATAGTTTACTTTCTAGAAGTAAAGTATACTATTAAGATAAAGGTTTATAACCCACTATTTCTTAATATTATCTAGGTACTGTTTAGCTGCTTCAATTCTATATTACCTATATAAGCACGTGATATAGACACTATTCTCGAATTCTAGCAGAAGTAGGTCTTCTCTTTAATCTATAAGTTCTATAGTCTAAAACTCTTATATTCTATCTCCTCTTCTAAGCGTATAAGCGAGGATATCTTTATTAATTAATGCGGTAATACAGTGCTCCGGCTTAAAATAATAGCAGCCCTTAGTTTTATAGATTTTTAATAACCGGGAGATATTTTTAGCGTCCAGAGTCCGGGCGCCTTCTATTTCCTGCGTTTTAAATTATAGGTATTATAAAGGGAGCTTTACAGATCCCCGAAAGTAGCTTCGGGTCTCTGCAAGCCTCCTAAAGACTTTATTATTTTCCATTTTTAAATTTTTTAAATAGTTGCTCGCCTTTTTATATTAGAAGGTGCAGCTAGTATATAATAAAACTATAATAAAACACTAATATAATTCTATATTTATTATTAGCAAGCGCAACTATAATAGCCTATAGCCCTCCCCTAAATTCTTTTTTAGAATAAAGATGTTCTGTAAGAATTACACTGCGTAGTTGCAGCTAGTAATAAGCTCTTTAGCTTTTAAGCCTTTAATAACAGTAAATAATACCTTCTAGCTAGAGTATATTATTAATACTCTTCCTAATAGTGCAACGCAGACTCTAAGTCTTCTACTCTTTTTAGGAAAAGGGCATAAAAATATTATATTACGTCACCTGTTCCCCTATAATAATTTCCGGAAACCTTAGTTAGATAGCTTTCTTAGGATTAGGGTCGAAATAATATTAAGGATATACTAAAGCCCTATTATTTTTGCCGACGGTTATTTTACTAAGTATATATTAGTATAGTAGAAACCTGTATCTTGCTATAAGTCTACTGCGCATATTATAAACTAGCTATACACCGAATACTAGACTATAATAGACGCTTTGCTATCCTGTATAGTACTGCTGTTCGTTATTATTTTAATAATTTTTGTCGATAATTACAACGCGTTAGAAAACATCCGCACTTTTTTAACACAGTAGGATATCTTAAGTTCGACTTTTCCTAAAAGGATCCGCGCTTGTCTTATTATTATATCCTCTTAAAAAGATTAAACAGGTCTTCGAAAAATTTGCGCTGGACTTCTTAACAACACTAAGCTCTTCTTTTAAATTACCACCTTTATTATTAATAAACGTCTTTTTTAGCTAGCTAGACACCGCCCTTTAAAAGAAGAAATTTTACGGCAAACTAATTAAGTTAAAAATAAGCTTTGTTAGTATTGCTGGTTATTTAGCGCTCGGCACCTTAATACCCTTATTAAAGCAGCGCTCGCGTATAGCATAGTATCTCTACAGGACCTATTTTATATAGTTTAAGCCACGCGAGTAAATCACTTCCTTAATAGTAGTTAAGATTATATTAGTACTATTATTAAAGCAGGAAGAGAGGGAATAATAATATATAAGAATATTATTAGATTCCTTGCTTCTAGCTTTTTTATAGACGTATATCCCGCAGGCGGATATAGTAAGGAAAAATATCTGCTTTTATTTAAAAGAAGATCTAATAGAAGTATTAGGCTTTGCACTATAACACTTATATTAATTATTATATCGCCCTTTATTTATTAAGGCATTGTCTAAAGCATTTAATAAAAGTATAGAGGAGTATTAAAGTCGCCGAGTAGAGAAGCACTTTTGTGCACTTTTTAAGTTATTAAAAACCGTCCTAGTAAGTAGCAGTTGTACTATAAGTATAGGGAATTATTAGAGAAATATTAAAATAATAAAGTCCTGCCTTTTTTGCTGTTTAAGAGTACCGCAGTATATACTTAGTTGCGGGCACGCTATATACGATATATGCGTACGTATTTTTAGAGATTTAGATTAAGGAAAAGAGTATAACTATACTATTACGGTATATATCCTCTGCGGCACAACACCTAAGCCAGGCGCTCTAAAAGTTAGGATTAAGCCTCTAATAGCTAGTATAAGGGTACTAAGCATTAATAGTAGAGGAATTAGAGGTATTATTCTATTAGAGTGTCTTTTGTTAATATAGAAGGCCTTAGAAACCTGTTATCTATAAGACTTTTTTAATATTTCTATAGAAATAAGTTCTAGTATATTGCCTTCCTAATCTTCTATATTTATAACATAGCTAATTATATATAGGAGGGTTAATTGCTTTAACGCTATCTTTCTATAATTAGAGCGTGCATTAATACAATTAAACCTTTAACAGTGTTTTTAAGCAATTCTTTCGGAAAACACAGGATATATCGGGTTCTTTAATACGCAGGTGGCGTAACTATCTACAAACCTGGATTATAGACGGGCAGTATAATACAGCTAATCTAGAAACGCAGTTTTAGCGCATATTTAGAGCTACCAGGCGTCTAAGAAATCCAGCAACCTCCGCCTATGCAGGTGCAAAAGTTGCTATAACTGCTATAAATATAATAGACTGCTTAGTATTCTTATTCTTAAACTATAATAGCATAAAGAAGTATAAAGGTATAGCTATTTAATTAGTATACTAATGCTTTACTAAGACTAATAAAGGTTATATATATATAAAGCCAATTAATACTAGTATTAATAAAAGCCTATTTATATAGGAAGCGTAAGTAAAGGTCTAGAATAATCTTATATACTTAACTAATTAGAATATAAGTGCTAGAGCTACCTCTGCCGCTCTAATATTAGTATATAAATTATTACCTATTAAATCTTACTAATATAGCCTTTAGTCTCTTCTAAGTTATATATTTAGACTTGTTTAGAATATACTAAGACAGGGCTATAAAAAACAACAACCCTATTATATTAGGACTCTGCGAAAGCTAGCTTATCTGGCCTGGTAATTATAAAGAAAACATTGTTCTATCTCTTAGAACCGGCACTAAGTAAAATTAGTCTCTATATACGCCCTACTTTAAGCATATTTTAAAAAACAGCTTTATTCCTTAAATCGGCCGTTATATTCCCTTTTTAATAGATGGAGAGGTTACTTAGAACGCTATTATCAGCCGCTTAGACCCTAAAACGCGAAAGAAATACTTTTATTTTAACGTCCACCTTAATAAACCAGCCGCTATTAATAATACGTCTATAATACTAAAACTGCGTAAGGCGGTAAATACTTAGCCTTATATATCCCGCAATATTTAGGAGTTTATTTTTTCTCTTTTAATAGCTTCTTTCTTCTTTAAGCTTAATTGTATTCTACAGTTTAATAATAGCTTCTATCGCTGCAAAGGATTAATCTAATGCAGGAATAACAGCCCTAAGGTCCTTAAACTGCTTACTAAGCTTTCGCTAAAAGGTTTAGATTTTATTATTAACTCTACTAGTCTTAGGGACCTTAAAGAACTAGCTAATATATATACCTAATGTTTAAGATTTAGGAAAAAAGTTATTTTCTATATAAGGCACCTAACTAAAATCGTTACTATATACGTACGCGTTGGGCACAACTATTATTACGTAATCGGCGGTTTTCCTTATAGTATGCAATAGTTAGTTTAATAGTAGTACCTTAATTCTATATTTAGGCTTCTAGATTATAGAAGCTTAAATATCGGCGACTATAAGCGGTGTAGGGTATAGAAGCTGCTAATAAAGCAAAATTATATTTTAAAGTTATTGCAGTTAGTATATAAATGTCTTTGTATATCGTGACTATTTAAGGCTCTATAAATTCTACTTTTCGTAATTAGTTAATATCCGGCACCTAGATATCTAGTTATATATAAAGAATTAAGTGCTACTACTACTAAACTACTAAGCTCTGCTACCTTAACTCCTTCTACCCCGCTCTATTTTTCCCGTTGGCCGATATAATAATAAAGCTATAAATAGCATTATACTTTTAATTATTAAAGAGCCCGTCGATAGCAGTTAGTAAAGTAATAGTGCGTCTACGTTAATCCTATAAATAGGCATCTATTTATAAATAGGAATACCTGTTTAACAGCTAACTATTTAAAAACTTATTTATTTATAGTATTCCTAGATTATATAAGTACTTACTATAGAAGTAAATTAGAATAAAAAAGCTTGCCTATACCTAATAATATAGATTCTATTTCGCAACTAATTAGCTACTTCTAAAATTTCATCTTCTCTAAAGAGGAGACCCTACTACTTAAAGAAAAGATTGCCTTACTTTTTAGTAATTCTTTTAATATTAGGACCTCTAATAGTTAACATCGCTTTTAAGTTAAGGGGTATACCTTCTCGCTTTCGGGTCGCAAGAAAGTAATAGACTCTTAAGGTATTAAACTATTCGATATCCGGAAGAAGTTTCTTATATTCCGTCGAACCTATTACTATACTAACTTGTAAGGTGTAAAGTTTTTAAATATAGAAAGACGCTTTAAGTATAAGTATAGCGGTAATTTTATAGGATATTATATATACTTATAATTGTATAGTTATAGGCTTAAAAGCTATAGCAACCTTTACTTTACCTTCTAGAATAGTAGAGGAATTTAAAATATAGATATAATCTTAAATAAAGTCGAGTAAAAACTAATTATATATAGGGAAGAGAGTTTATTGCATTTTAGGGCTAAGATTACTCTCGAATAAACTTAAATAGAACTTACCTCTATTAAACGCAAGCTACTAAAGCCTTATAACTTGCTTTTTAATAAGTAAGGATATAGACTTATAGTTAAGCCAAATGTTAATTAAGCACTTATAGTAGCAATATATATATATATAGGTATATTACCTTAAATATATTAGCGAATAGGCACTAATATTAGTAGATAAGTTTAATAAGAAGTAGGAAAAAAAATTAGGTGTTAAACGAATAATTAACCACGCCAGTAGAGCTTATAAACTAAATCCTCGTGCTTAGTAGTAGGCTAGATATGCAGGCAATTCTATTTTACGTAAAGTGCGTCCCTGTATAGCAAGAAACCTCCTATACTAAGAAATATTTTTTATTTAAATATTTTAAGTCTTTCCTTATAAGCCTATAAAGTTATAGCTAATATAATAATATTCTTTACGTATTTCTTCTTAGGAAACCAGTTTATAATAAGAAAAATACAACAATCTTAGTTATACTGTTAATTATTCTGTTTACAGCGTCTAGGACTAAATTAGCTTTACTACCCTGCTCTACCACGACTATTAATATATTTTTAAATTTCGGAGGATTAGGATAATAATCCTATTAAAGGAAAATATATTTGCAAGCAGTAAAGATATATAATACTTAAAAAAGCATGCACTTTAAAGTTTTTCTATATAAGGGAACGCTTAGTGTCTTAGTATATAGATTTAGCGCGCTTATATAAGCGAGTATTATTTATTTAGCTACTTATATTATACTCTATACTATATTAAAATAAAGTGCGGCGTTCTTCTAGAAGCTTCGACAGTTATATGTCCACTATTTTTAGCGTCCGCGCCTATTATTAGTGTCGTGGCCTCTTGCCACCCGCCACTCGTTCACCATCACCACAATCGCTAACATAGACCGAGCCAGCCAGGTGCTGGCGCAAGCCCCTCTAGACGTGCCTAGGACATACGCTACTCTTGCAGAACGAGGCGATGTTCCTCTCTCAACGCTCCATTATCGTGATAAGGGACGACGCTCAATAGAGGAAAAGGCTTAAAGCCAGCAATACTTAACCCCAGACGAAGAGAAAGCTGTCATTAAATTCTTATTACTAATGTCTAATCTCGGGCAGCCAGTGCGCATAAAGTTTATACCTTCGCTAGCCTTTTGTGTCGCCCGCAACCGATTAAAGAATAAACCAATCAAGCCTCCGGGCAAGAACTGGGCTCGGGGCTTTAAGAAACGCCATCCAGAACTTAAAGCTAAAACTGTTAGAGCGATTAACTGGAAACGACATAGGAATAACATATATAATAAGATTGTAGAGTGGTTTAAATTGATTAGAAAGGTGCTACAGGATCAGGATTTGGCTATTCTGCCGGAAAATATCTATAATATAGATGAGACGGGAGTCTTGCTGAGCATGCTCGGTTCTATCAAAGTCCTTGTAGGTAAGGATGACCTGCAAGACCATAGAGGCGCGGGTGTTAAGCGGACAATGGTGACTGCTGTTGAGTGCATCAGTGCTGACGGCAGGCGGCTGCTCCCCCTTATAATCTGGCCAGCTTTAACCCACCGAAGCAACTGGACCACATACCCAACCCCCGGATGGCATTATGGGCATTCTGAAAATGGATATAACGACTCCAAGATTAGCTTGGAGTGGCTAACGCGTGTATTTGATCCCCAAACCAAAGAACGGGCTAACCAGAAACCACGGGTTCTAATAATAGACGGCTTCGGGACACACGAGACGCTCGAGGTCTTGGAGTTTTGCTTTGAAAACAACATCATCCTATGCCGTCTCCCCTCTCACACGGTAAGTCGTAATACACATACACGCTGATGCCAGATTTTCACTCAACTTGGGGGTTCAAGACCGCCTGTCTAAGTCGCGATTAAACAGCGAGGATCTAGTATCTATCATACCCCCTCCTTCAAGCCCTCTCACCTTCACTATCCCCACCCCACGCCTTCCTCGCCCTGGCGTCCTAACCAGTAAAAAGTCCCTAGGCATCCCGACAACCCTCTTCAACCCTCTTCAACCCTCTTTATAGATACCTGCTAATTTGTACAACCACCTAGTCTCACAAGCTCCAGCACTGTGACGTCGGAGTCTTCGCACCATTAAAGGCAGCCTATCGCGATCAGGTTGAGCTACTATATCGAGGAGGTGTAGATGTAGTTAGCAAGGAGCATTTCACATCTCTATACTGCCCTGCAAGGGAAAGGGCATTAACTAAGAGCAACATCCTAGCCGGGTGGGCCGCAACTGGTTTATTTCCATTCAATTCAGAGAGAGTACTCAGACATACACCGAAACCCCCCGCTCAGCTTACCGTTTCCGTTCCGAATGCTAATAAGGTGGTGGGGTCGCAAGACAAAGTACCGCAAACACCTGTAACGCCAGTGACAGCAGAGGGTCTTACGCCAATACACAAGCTAATTAAACAGGATGCTCATAGGCTTAATAAGATCAGCAAACAGCGCCTACATAGACACGTACAGAAGATCGCAAGTGCCGCCCAAATATCCTTTGCCGAATGTGCCCTTCTCCAGGATCAAAATCGACTCTTGGCTAAGATAAACGGCGAAGCCAAAGTTCGCCGATCGACCAAGTCATTGATCCTAGGGAAGGCGAAGGTGATGAGCTTTGAGGATCTCGGCGAGGCACGAGCGAAGCGTGATGCAAAAGAGAAAGCTATCGCAAGTAAGAGAAAACACGGGCGTAAGCGCAAGAGTCCTGTGCCAGAGGAGGCAGAGGCGGATCCATCAGCGCCAGAGGACAAAGTGATGCGGATGAGCGAAGTTGAGCCAGCGAAAGCCGTACAAGGACCGTCATGGAGGGCACCAGTGGCGAAGATGTACTAGGACAATTTTGTTGTTGAACTTGCTATAGGATTATCTTACACTGGAAGTTGCGCAGTTTATATACAGTCGCTAGCGAATGCAACTTCCCAAACGTGACCGTCATACAATTTTACCCCACCCGTAAAAGCCTTAGCGCCCACCTTATGTATCCGATTAGGCACCATTAGCCTACGCACGTGATTTGCCACGGTACAAGAAGGTAATTTAGTTAGGGTCTCCGCTAGCTGGATTTATTACATGATCTCTTTCTGGATAAGTACTCAGAGTATAAAAGATACATAGCCAAATAGATTATCCGCTGCACGTGAATATCCCGAGTGTGACGAGCGAGGCTGAGATCGAGACTCAGCTGAGTCGCCGCGTCTCTCGAGACCATAGTCCTGCAAACCTCCTACTACGCCGCGCGAGGCCACTCTGTCTATGCATTCGACATGACACAACCTAGTGCGACAATTGCCTTTGGAGACCGCAACCGCGGCTTTCAGGCGGGCATCATCAACGGCCCTGTTCACCACCATCCACCGCCTGGTAGGTTAAACAACGGCCAATGCTCGACTGCGCTAACGGCTATCCCACACCAGAGCGAGCAGAAACCCCGCCGAACCCTTCTTGCGCCGTCCCCTTTCGCCGCGACCCGGACTTTGTCGATCGCGGAACGCTGCTCGATCAGATACGCGAAACATGCTCCGCACCGGCATCTCGCATAGCGCTGGTGGGCCTGGGCGGCGTAGGGTAAGCCGAAAGGACACTTGGGCCTGTGCTCGCACCTAACATAGGCATAGGAAGTCGCAGCTTGCCATAGAGCACTGCTATCAGACCGCGAATCGGTCGCCAACGACGTGGGTGTTCTGGGTGCACGCCAGCAACGCGGGTCGCATCGAACAAGGCTACCGAGACATCGCGGACCAAGTCAAGCTGGCTGGCCGGAACGATCCACAAGCGGATGTGTTCAAGCTTGTTCGCAGCTGGCTTCGCAATGAGAAGAATGGGAAATGGCTGCTGGTCCTCGACAATGCCGATGATGCCGCTGCTCTCTCTATACCAGCAAGCAATGATCAGAAGACACAGGCGAGCGGCGGAGATGGCGCTTACCCACGTTACTTCTCATCGTATCTGCCCCAGAGCAAGAATGGCTCAGTTCTGGTAACCAGTCGGACAAGGAGCGTGGCGTTGCGGCTGGTGGAGGAGAGCGATATCATACCCATCGAGCCCATGGACAACGCCGGCGCGCAAACTCTTCTGCAAAAGAAGTTAGGAGAGGAGGTGGATAAGGGCAGCACTGCCGAGCTTGCAAAGGCGGTTGAATTCATGCCACTCGCTCTCGTGCAGGCGGCAGCGTACATCCGACAACGAGCGCCAAGGTGTTCGATGCAGCAATACCTAGAAGCGTTCTACAAAAGCGACAAAAAAAGGACGGGCCTGCTAGACTACGACGGAGGCCATCTTCGGAGAGATGAAGAAGCTAAGAACTCCATTCTTATAACGTGGCAAATCTCGTTCGACCATATACTCCATGCAAGGCGGTCAGCGGCAGACCTGTTATCTTTAATGAGTTTCTTTGACCGGCAGGGGATTCCTGAAGCGCTTGTTCGCAATCAAAGTGGGGCACGGAATAGACAGGGGGGCGTAGAAGCTATTAATACAGATAGCGAAAATAGTGACAGCGACAATAGTAAGTCGGAAGCCAGCACCGACGACGGGTTTGAAGAGGATATTCGCACGCTAAGGAACTACTCGTTTATTGCGCTTACCACCGATGCAACAACGTTTGACATGCATAGGCTTGTGCAGCTAGCCACGCGGAAGTGGTTGGAAGGGCAGGGCCAACTGGAAATATGGAAGCAGCAGTATATTGACAATCTTTGCACAGCATTTCCGACAGGCGAACACAAGAACTGGGCCCAATGCCAAGCGCTCTTTCCGCACGCCAAGTTGGCGCTGTCACAGCCACCCAAGTCTGAGGAATCCCTCCAACAGTGGGCTCTATTGTTGTACAAGGCAGCATGGTATGCTTGGCAAAAAGGAAGTCTGAGTGATGCCGAGAAACTGTCGGTGAAATCAATGAAGGTTAGGGAAAAGCTGCTTAGTAAAGAGCATACGGACACGTTAAACAGTATAGCAATGGTAGGGCTCGCAATAAAGCTTGCGGGACGGTGGAGAGAGGCGGAAGAGCTGGAGGTGCAAGTGATGGAGACAAGTTCGAGGGTGCTTGGGGAGGAGCATCCTTCCACGCTGACCAGCATGGGCAACCTGGCGTCGACGTACAGGAATCAAGGGCGGTGGAAGGAGGCCGAAG